AACCAGAAACATTTGCTACAACTGTTAGAAAGCTTTTGCACCTAATGTCAAAAAAAAAAATGGTGGTTTCCTCTCTTCCTCCCCCCTCCTCTCCGCCTACTCCTAATCCCATGCTAACACCTTGCTAAAAGGCTGGGGTGAGCAGATTTGAAACTGAAAGAGCAGGGAAGGGGGGATAAAAAAGATACCAGATCTCCAGACAATGAAATAAAGCAGCTATCTCTCACATCCTGCAGCGCTCAGGCTGAGGTCATAAGTTAAACAGGACATCAGAATAGGTGATGTAATTTGCTTATTTAGGATCAGAGCATTCAGTGGAGTGAAAGAGACAACCTATTTGAATTTGCAGATAATCCTATAATAAATGCAGGGCTGTTCAGTTGCAGAAACTGCAGCTGGAGCCTGAGATTTTTTTCCCTCGCACATTTATTTTTGTAGGGGATATAATTGCGATCATTTTCCCTTGCAGGAAAGCCTTGAAACCTCACCTGGGATCAGCCTCCCATCGTGTTAGGCATTGTTCAAACAGGGTCCCTGCCCCGGCCAGTTTAAAGGCTAAAGGGTCAAGTCAAACAGAGGGTGGGAAAGGAAAGAGAGGCCCAAGGGAGGCAAGGAGGTGGCAGAGCCGCGCCGCAGGAGCCGGGTCCCCCAGTCCCTTCCCTCCCCTGTACAAGAGCAAAGCTTCGGACTCCAGACTGAGCTGTGCAGCAGTTACACTTCCAAGTAAAGCACAGCTCAGCTTTTCTGAAGCCCAACAGGCTCCCCTGGCTCCCAACTTGCCTGCAGAGCCCCAGACCTGCAAGGATTTTACAGCACTTACACACCTTTAATGATAAAGCACAGCTCAGCTTTTCTGAAGCCCGACAGGCTCCCCTGGCTCCCAACCTGCCTGCAGAGCCTCAAACCTGCAAGGATTTTACAGCACTTATACACCTTTAATGACGAGGTTCTTCTGTAACAGGAGTAATTTATCGGTGGTCCCGTACTACACACCACACCACACCACGCCACACCACACCACACCACGCCACACCACACCACACCACGCCACACCACACCACACCACGCCACACCACACCACACCACGCCACACCACACCACACCACGCCACACCACACCACACCACACCACACCGTTTTCCCTTCAAACCATCATGGCAAACTCTCCTGATATAAAGATTCAAAGCTAACAGCTTGCACTGTTTATCTCCTCAGTTTATCACCATTCAGAAGGTAACTGCCCACGGTCGGTGGGGCACAGGGCAGTCCCTCCCAGCTGAGGGATGCCAGCCCTTGCCCAAAGCTGTCTTCCACACAAGTGTTTTTTCAGTGGTGAGCAGTTGGCCAGGCCACACTGTGCCTTAGCCAAAGGAAGCAGATATCCCAGGTATCTGGGGCTCATGAGAAAGAGAGCAGTAGATGAAGGGCGCTGTGCACACTGCAGGTCAGCAGATGAAGTCTACACCTGCTTCAGGTGGATCTTCAATCAGACCACACAGAAAAGCAAGATGGAAAAAGCCAAGTCAGTCATTTAGGTCACATCCACCAAAACATGTCCATTTCCAGGTGTTCCTTTACGAGACTGGAGGGGAGTGATGTTCCTCCTTCTGTCCTACCAGCCCATACCCAAGTGTCAGAGCAGGGAAGTGTGCCCCATGCATGGACATTGTGTCTGAGTAACAGTGCTGTGGCACCAGAAGGGGTGAGACACCCTCCTCCCTCAACAGATGGACCTGTCAGAGAAGCCAAATCTCAGCCCCCTATCCAACAACCTAGCTGTCAGATGTTCATATCCATAACTGTAGCTGTCCCATAGGTCATGTTCTCTAGCAGGTTTTGTTTTGTTCTTTCTTGAACATGAATTTTGTGTTGGAACTTCCTCTAAGTTGTCAGGAGCAGAGGATCACTGATCTGCTCCAGCCAGTTTGTGTAGCTGACCCTAAGGCTGCTCACAACAGCCCCTGACAGCTCCACAAAGATCTTCCTGACTAGTGTATGGGACCAACGTGCTGAATTTCTCAGGTAGGAACACCCTCCAGCATGCATTTCACACCACCCCCTTCTGAAGGAGCTACTTTTGGATACCTGGAAAGAAGAAAAGCTGTATACAAGCTATTCAGATGAGGGACAGAAGTCACCTGCATTTCAGGTAGAGGGAATGGTTTTATTACAAAGACTCTAAGGCTAGGAAACATATGACTCCTTGGGGGGCAGAGGGTTTGCATGTCACCAGAAGAAGGAATTTATCTTGTTTTCACTCACTACTCCTAAAATGTTCCTCACTGATGGTAACACCAGGCCTGGCTAAAGCTTCTCCATGACCATCACAGAGTCCATGCAGCACTTGAGACGTGGCAATGAGGAGATCCCTCTTGGCAGGCCACAACTGCCTCACCCAGCAGCCGTGTTCATCTCTGGAGCCTGTGACCAGGGCACCCCAGCTGCAGCCCAGCACAACTGGAAGCTTTGATGCTGAGGAGCCCGTGGGTGAAACCCTGCGTGCGCTTGCTGCTCTGAGCAGACAGAGGTAACCAGAGTTTGCCATTGTTTTCACAGAAAAAGGCAGTATTTTGGCAGGGTTACAAAACAAGCCCATTCTTTATATCTGCAAAAGAGTGACCGTCCATCCCTGCTGAGGGAGCTGGCAGAGGAAACATATTTTATAGCAATCTTGGGTACAACACTGACCCAGGACCTGTTTTTACCGTGTGCTCTGCAGTCCACGCACCGACTGTTACAGCGACGATCTGTGCTGACATACCCACCCCAGGCACTACAGAACAGAAGCCCAGGAGGCACACCAAGGCCCTGCTCCGTGAGGCAGAGTGCCAGGCAGGATGCCACATGGCCTCCTGTGACACACGGGCTCCTCTGCCGGGAGCAGATGAGCCCACAGCCCATCTCCAGCACATGGGCCAGCTCAGAGCCCTGCTGGCCCAGCTCCACGGGAGTGGCCCAGGAGAGAGCCAGGAACAGCTCAGCAGTTTAAGGATCCAGCCTCCACCATAATTCAGCTCAATAAGGTTGGCAGAGAATTAGGATGTTTTAGAAAGAGCCTACAAACAAAGCCCTGAGGTCTCTGTTGGTCACAGTGGCCCAAGAGCACCCCTGTAAAACCAAATATCTGTCACACAGGCAGCCCAGACTCTGCAGTTTCAGGTAGCCCTGCAAGGAAGCTGGACTTGATGATCCTGATGGATTCCTTCCGACCTGAGACACTCTATGATTCCATAACCCTTCTCAGAGCACTGCCCACCAGTCCCCTCAGTGCACACAGACCTTCTGGGAGCCACAGAGCCAAACACCCTGGAGCACACACAGCTCTGAGAGCTTGGGTTCTCCTCAAAAGCAACAGCAACCCAGCAGCGAAACTCGTGCAGCCTGCAGAGGACAGCTGAAGGAAATCAGCTCCCAGATGCCAAAGCCCTGAATGTAGGTAAATATATGATTCAGAGCACAGAGCAGTTTGACAAATAATAGCATCTTCCCATGGCTAACGGTATAAAGCCTGCAGCTGTTCTACCACCACAATTTACAGGGAGAGCATTTCTCCTGGAAGTAAGAGAACACTTAGTGTATACTCCTAGCCAGACTGATTACCCTTATTTATAGGGTAAACTAAGACAGCACGTACTAAAGATCCATCGAGTTAAACAGTTCCAGACTCCAGATCAGGGGCAAGGGGTCAGTTTTATATCACATGCTGCATGGTCCTCTACATTTATTACAGATATCACAGAGTTTTCAGCAGCATGTTTTTGTGTCTGGGCTTATTCTTCTGGTATTTCAACAACCATCAGGAAGGACACTGCTATTTTATGGGATCTCAGGGAATCAGAGAATCCACAAGGTTTTTTTAACATTTTTTTTTAATAATAAAAAGGAAGCTAGCATGCCACTATAGAACAACTGCAATCTGTTCTCGGAACAATAAAACCACAAGACTGAACACAATATCTTGTATCTGACTGTGTACATTTATCCTGAAGTCAGATCAACCCATATCATGTCGATCCAATCTGCACGGTGTTACGTCATCCTGCTCGTACAGACAACCTGCACAGCTGGACAACTCTCATTTTCTCTCTAAGTTACAGATAAAGTTTCAACAACCGACATCAGATACAAGCAGAGCTCTGGAAAATGCTCTCTGGAGTGCTTGCTCAGAAGTCATTGCTATTCCTGCACCACTCGTGCAGTTCCAGCAAGCCAGGAGACCCCGTGAGCTCGACCACAAGGCACTGAGCCAGGCTTCCCTGGACTGTTCAGCTGGCTTGTTTATTCCTAAGAGAAAGCTCCTTTTCTAGCCAGATTTGCAGTTTCTTCATTTTCTCTCTTTAAACACTGATAAGATGAGAGATGTTGAACTTGCAGGTTGGTTTATGTGACGGTTTTCTGAAGGGATAGGTTTCAGCGTGTTACTGTAGCAAATACTGGAGTGAAATTGGAAGAGATGGGGACTTGAACTAACAGAATTAAATTTTTTCTTAACAACAATTCACAGATATCCAGTGCCAAACACAATCTGGAGACATCAACTAGCATGGACATGAATTAACCTAATAGCTTCTGAAGAAAAAAATACTCCTAAAAAAAATCCTCCTATTAAAGTAATTAAGTGTTATCAGAATCACAGAGTTGTAATTAAACGCAGTTTGTAATTAAACCAGCATGTGTCCTAGACAGGGAACACAGTAACAAAGAGACTATAACTGGGGTAGTCAATGCCAAAACACATGCCAAGGACCAAAACTCAGAAAAACCAGCAGTTTCTAGCAAAGCTGCAGACGCGGTGCCTCCGCTCTTCTGCCTTAGTCATCGACACCTCTGACAGATGTTAGCCCCCTCACAGCTCCTCAAGCTTTGCCAGAGTTCAAGGAAAACCCTCACAAACCAGGCAGAAGGCCCTGAGTGCAGGACCCAGAGAGCTGAAGCAGCGCCTGGCGCGCGCGGAGCGTGAGCGAGCCCGAGCTCGGCTCAGCCAAGCTGCCCGTGCCCTACCTGGCAGCGGCTGAAGATGTCTGCCAGGGACACCTGGACGTTGAAGTGCTTCAGAACCTGCAGGGCCTGTTCCTTCGCCTTCTCTGAGCAGTTCACAGAGAAACACCTTCCTTCTGCTACCTGGGACTGCAGCTTCAAAAGACAAGTCAGAAACCAAGAAGATGTTAAAAGAGGCACCCCATGCATGAGGAGCCATAGGGGTTTTGCTAATACATTGGGTTTGGTTTTAATTACACATAATCCTTGGAGTTAGTGTATGTTTACAGTCTAAATTTTGATCTAGCAAGCACATTTGGTAATTTAACACTTAGCCACTGCTGCAAGAGCTCTGAGACTACAGAAGCACTGCAGCATCTCCATCTATATGACATGTGACTGCCCAATTCCCCTTCTGCTTGTAATTTGGTGATGCTGACAGGAGTAGCAAGAGGAAACTGAGTTTAACTGCAGCTTTCACACAAACCCTGGGCAGATCACTCAGTGTGCAAAAGCACCATGATGGAGACAATGTCCAGTTTTCCCACTTTGTGTTTCACCTGGAGTTCACTGGCAGCCCACGAATTCGAAGTGGTTGATGTGGGCAGTCCCTCCATGTTTGTCCCACATGTAGCAGGGCAGTTTGTGTCTGGGAGCAAGCACTGGGAAGTTCCAGGCACATCTCGACAGACACGATGAGTGCTCACGGTGAGGTGGGATCAGCTCCACCCCAGGACAGCAGCCAGGCAGAGCCATCCTGCCCTCGCACAGGGCACACAAAGGCCAAGGAGCAAAGGGAAGGAGACGTTTCCCAGGACACTGTCGTGCACCAGGGAGCAGTTATTTTCCTTTTGCAATTCCTACACGGTACTTTGAAGTTAAAGCTTTGCCAAATAAGATCATCCTGGATGCTGAATTACCTATTACATCAGCTGAAGGTTCAAGGAACCACAGTCTGGATAAGGAACCTGTAGCCTGGCATGGCTGCACTTGCTTCACAGTGTCTCACCGTGAGGGGAGTTTTCTTCAATGCTTGGCTCTTAGATAGGAAATTAGCAACCTACATTCTGCAAATACTCCAACTGGCTACATGAGTAGATGGAAGATTTTATATGGATAGCTGTTAAACAAAGAACTCCTGCACTCTGGCTCATGTATGTAACCCAGAAGAGTTTCACTCTTCCAAATGAATGTTTGGACAGTAACAAAGTGCAAAGAACCTGTAGCAGACAACACTGCAACCACTGATTGACAGGTTCAGCTTATTGCCACCAGGTTTCAAAGTATGTCTTGTGAAGGGCTCTAAACATCTGGTGCTAGGAGTAGAGTTAGGTTTTGCTTTGGGTTTTTTTGTGTATCTACAGGAACACAAACCCTCTACAGCTTCTACTGGGACCCATGCTTGGTGGCTCCCATTCTCTCCATGCCTGAAGAAATGTCTTTAAGTGTTGAAACTATGTCGGTATGGAGCCAGTCAGTAAACAAGAATCTTTGTGATAAAAAGCATGGGAATGGAGCTGCCTTTCACCTGCCAGTGAGGCCAAACAGAAACACTTTGTTCTGGATTGCTTGGCTGGATTTCCACCCTGCACCCCCAGTGGAGAGCAATCGCTCTCCCCGCTGATGCAGCACCGAGTATAAAATATTTCACCTCAAGCTTTGGACATTCAGAACAGCAAACCTCTCAAGACCACTAATGTATTTTTTAGTAAAAAAAAAACAAAACAAAACATGAAAAAGCCAAGCCAGCTGTTGCATTCACATCTGACTTTTCCTCTTCTCTACACTGTACATCCCAGACCACGCAATGATACAATGGAAGAAAAATGCCAGAAGCTCTGAACACTTACAGTCTGATATGGGAGTCCAGAGGTTAAAATGACTCTTCCTTCCTGTCGGGCAATCTGGAATAAACAGCAAAAATCATAATGACCATGAGCTGAAGTCACACGAGTTTCAAGCTTTCCTTTCAGCCAAGGCAGAGGGAACATAAACTGGCAATGCCAAGCCTTCCTCTCTGGTGTCGACACACTCTAGGCCAAGACCCGCTGGGCCTGACTCAACAATATGCTCTCGACAGCAAGAGCAGCTCAAGCTATCACTCTCTTACTTTGCTGTCTCCCAGCCAACACCCATCTCACCTCAGATGTGCTGGAGCAAGCCACTTGTGCATCTGCACTGCAGGTGGCTCAGGGAATCAACCCACCTTGAAATAATCCTACCAAAAAGCCTTCTACCTTTTTTTTTTTTTCCCCCTCCTTAACTCAGACTATTCTTATTTCCCCAGTCTGGTTCAGAAAGAAGCAAGAAGTTTGGCTTGCACAGCAATGCACAGGGGAGAAAAATAACCTAAGCAGGTAATTCCAGCCAAAGAAGGTACCATTAAATGTGTCTGCAAACCTCACAGGCATTAACAGAACGACGCTCACTCCACTCCTCAAAGATAAGATGGTGTTACTCTCCCAGCAGCCCACGAGCAGACACACAGAAATCACACACCCTTTCCAGGCTGCAAAGAACATCTCCACCAGAGTTTATCACCTCCTGACATGCAGTCCTGTGCTCTTATCAGAGGTCCTGTCCTTCCAGGGAAAGGTCTGAGCTGAATTATCAGGGGACCTGTTACCCACACTTCTGACCTCCGCAATAGAGCGAGAGACACTTTCAAATGGTTTGGTGCCAAAAGGTGATACTAAATCTGGAACTGCAATTTTTCACGAGGATGAAAGTGGGACTGATCTTTGGATGATTAAATGACATCCCTTCCTCCCATCCCTTCACCCCTCCTGTGGGAGGGGGACAGTTTCACAGCCTAACGATAGCAGGATCCCACACGAACCAGCACTTCAGCTCTGCTGGTGCTGACAAGAGGTTCACACCTCGAGGTAAGCACCAGGTTATTTCTCTTCTCTGGCCTGTATTCTGCTGGAAGCCCCTCACATTTTTCACTGGTTCCAGATTCCAGTCATGCAGGTCTCTCTCCTGGATCAGAGTTTCAAAAGCTCTCTCTGGATCCCTCTTTAGCCCTGGCAAGAGGACCCATCTGGGATCAGAGTCCTGCTGCACTTCCCACACAGTCTGACACCACCAGGCACAGCCAGGGAACACCAAAAAAAACACAAAACAAGATTTTTCAACTCTGTCTCAGCTATTCTCTTAAGACCCACCGGACCTATGGCAACATGAAACAAGAGGGAGAAGGCTCTGAAGGTAGAGCATGACTCCATGCAGTCAACCCAGAAACTATTTTTTTCCTATCTTGACCTTTCAGGTAGCCACGTCCCTCCCTTTTCTGTGAAGTCACTCTTTGGCTGCTAGTTTTGCACTGAGAAAGCAATTGGCAACAACTTCTAAAGCATCTTCCTACAGGCAAAATGACTGGGTTTCTTTCAAACTCAACCCTCTCTCTCAATAAAGGAAAAAAATCTCCAAGAACAGGAATCTTGAAGTGGCAGCACAGACATCCCATGCTGGATGCAATCTTACTACATGCAGTTTGGGTTACTGAACAGCTCTGCCAAGAAACCACCCTCATGGCACGTTAGCCAGAGAAGTCCAGTAAGGCCCCAGCAAAAGTTCACCACAGTGATTTGCTGACAAGGGAAGAGAGACGTGAAATTCCTTTAGACCCATGTGTGCTTCAGGGTAAGTCTGAGGATTTCACAGCTGGAACACTCCATTCTGACTTCCTGCATCCAGGGTTAATTAGTTCAAGCTTGATAAATCCCCTTATCTAAATGGCTCTGCAGAGACAGGCAAAGAACATCAAATAAAAAGGAGAAAAGCAATAACTCTTCCAGCATGTTTTTCCGCCTCTGGAACAACGACTGGGAGAAGCATGCAGAGCCAGAAAAGCCATGTGACAGCTCCCATCTGACTGCAACCACAGAGGACACATGCTGGAGAAAAGGGCACAATTCCTTCTTTTCCTCTGCAAGGAGTAACAGAGTAACAGCAGGCAGTGCTGGGACCTTCAGGAGATGTGTCCCCAGAGATGAAAAGAAAAGGAGAAGAACCACCAGAGTATCGTGCTGGGGTGGGTGTCAGGGGCCCAAGCTCCACCCCAACTGCTGCAGAGAGGGCATTGCACTCAGTTTCACAATGTGTTAAAAGATAACATCAGCTTCCTCTGGAAAAGGCTTGGACCTTCTGGACTGAAAGCACTCCCTAAGAACTTCTGTTACTATTTAGCCCTTAACGTGCCCGTCTGTGCAGCCAATTTCCATCTTGCAGAGATGAATGAACTCAAATGAAATACTACAGAAGAGACCTGGAAGGGCAACAACTGATGAGAGAGGGCAGAGAAAGACCCAATGTTTCAAAGCCAACACCAGTGGCAGAGAGATTTTTGACAACCTGAAGGATCTTGAATTAAGGCCAAAGAAGGTTTTGAGAAACAGCTGCACAAGGCTGTAGATTTGTAATTTAAAATTTGCCCAGCCTGTGCATGACGTGTTGGGCAATGCCACATGGCCTCCATGAGGCAAACTGCAGTGATCCCTTTGCAAGACAGCAGTGCAGGGAAAGCTGTGACCCCCTTGCAGTGGCAGAGGTGAAGCAGTGACCCTGAGCCTAGGCCAGCAAGGTCCCAGTTCAGACCAAAAGAGCAGACAGAAAGCATCTGCTCCAGGACGTGTGCTGCTGAAGCACACAGACAAGGATCTACTAGAGCAGTGGATCACAAACCTCTGTCCAGCCCTGAAGCCCTGTACCTCTTACCTCAGGCTCTTTTAAAATAGACATTAAACCAAGAGCTTCATAGCTATGAACACAGTGCAGTCCCACAGCACGCTTGCTGCACGGCTGCTCTTCCAACCCTGGACCCTTCAGCACTCCTGAAACCCATAAACTGTACAGGGTTATTGCATGGTTTCATAATGTGGTCTTCAGCACCACACCAAAACCATTGACCCAATTTTGTTTCTTAACATAGACCCATTTGTAACAAGGTCTCC